CCTTTCCCTTGTTTTTGTCTTTTTATTGAGCCCTTTCTGCAGCGTAGTTGTGCGTAGGCCTTCTATTGATCCAATAGTCAAGCCGTGCATCTTGATTATTCAGGTTCATGAATTCCTAATATATAAAAGATATTAGTAATTGGTTGTGACAATCCTCTAGATGACTTAATGTTGCCTTTTGTTTTAGATACAAGCGATATTAGGAAAAGAAGGGAATCAAACCTAAGACCTCGAATACATGAGTAAATACTATTAACAACTTGAGATGCAAGCCCATTGCATTATTTTTTAAGGGGAATGCTAACAACCTTCTCTTTTGGACCTTCTCCATTTTTTGCTTGACATGTGTCATTCTTCTTACACTTAAAACAATGTCATTAATATATTATATAAGCTAACTTTTGCTTTCCAAGTTGTATTCAATTTATCCAAAAAAAAATTCACAACTTTCTTACCATCTTTTTTTTTTTTAAACGTCAAATTTTTTATTTAAGAAAATGTCTGTTTTTTATATATAAAAAAAAGAGGAAATGTCCCCTTTTTTTAACGTCAAGTTTAGATTTTTTAAATTAAAACAAAAGGAAATTTCCTCTTTTTTTAAAAAGGAAATATTTTCTTTAAAAAAAGAAATTGACGTTAAAAAAAATTTAATAAAATGGTAAGAAAGTTGTCAAATTTTTTTTTGATAAATTGAATACATTTAATAAGGGTAAACTTGGAAAGCAAAAGTTAGCTTATACAATATATTAATGACATTGTTTTAAGTGTAAGAAGAATGACACATGTCAAGAAAAAAATGGAGAAGATCCAAAGGAGAAGGTTAGAGAAAATGTTGCTAGTATTTCTCATTTTTTAATATAGTGTAGGGAGGAGTGCGATATCCATGTATTTAATTATATGCACGTGTTTTTTTTCTTTTTTTTTCACAAGACGATATTCTAAACTGCTCTAATGTAGATTTTAGATTAAATGCATTTTTTTTTATCACTTGTTTTGCCTTCATTTAATTTTGGATACTACTTATCTCCTTATCAGTAAAGAGATACTCTTCCTTCATGCGAATTACAGTTTGACACAGATGTAAAAATAATTCATCTAAAACACCAACAAAAGAAAAAAAAATTATGCACACATGTCATACTACTATTGATAGAAATATATAAGCTTTTACTTACCTAGTAAGGAGGGATGTATTTTCCATTAATTTTTGTTCAATTTAGTCTATGTGTTTGATTTTGTTAGTAATTTAAGAACAATTTTGGATTAATAAAATCATTGTCCTAAAAAAATAACGTATAAAGTGTAATTTTTTATTTCATCTCACCTATTGTTGTCACTAGCTGAAGCTTGATGGGCAATACAATTCCGAAATGAATAATTAACTTTCATTTTCAGCACAAAAGAGGAAAGCAAAAGAGAACACATCAAACAGGAAGCATCCCGAGACTGACATAAATCACCATAAAGAGAGCGCACAGTAGACAAGTCATCTGTTCCATGTCCCACCAACAGGCGCACTCAAATCTTCGTTGATTGGTCTGCCTATGACCTACGCGTGGGACGGTGTTTCTGCAAGCGCATCCCCTTTGGATCATTAAAAAAAAACAAAAATCTCAAAGTGAAAAAGGAAAAGAGTAAGAAAAAAAAAAAAGTACTGGAAAAGATATTTATATATATATACTCGTGCAGTACACAACTACAGAGACTTTCCGACAAGCTTCAACCCACAGCTGAATTTTCCATTAGATTATTATTCTTCCTTCTTTGTCCTCTTTTACTTTGTACTAGCAGCTTCACAAAGTTTGCTTCTTTAGCAGGAGCAAGAACAGTATCGTCTCGATTGATGAACTGAGTCTTGGACGGATCGTCAATTGGAGCCACAGATTTCAAGCTATCCATTTGACTTTGGAGCTAAAGAGCCAAAGGTAAGGGGAAAGATAACAAACAAATCCATCTCAGCTTTTCTTTATTATATTGTCAAGATACTTTTTATTTTATTTTTATAGCAATTGGTTAGTTCTATGTGGCTTTTTGAAGGTTTCAAAGGTGGAATTTTAAAGGGTTTGATTTTAGAATCCTGTGGCACGATCTGGGTCACTGTGCTTCCTTTCCCTGTTTCACTCCCTTGGATTCCGGTGGTGGTGTTTTTCCGTAAAAAAGTAGGTATCTTTATTGGACTCTGTAAATATCTTGCATTATTGTTAAAGGGCTTGCTTGTTTTTAAGTTTTGGGGTTGTGGGTTTTGGAGAAGCTCACTAGTGAAGTGTTTATTTGGGGGTTTTGGCTTCTGGGTTTTGAGAATTTCACTCATCCTCATCTCAGCTCAGTCTTGGTTTTGTTTTTGTGGGTTTGTTCTCAGTTCTGGGTTTTGTCTGTTTTTGGTTGATTTCTTGGTTACGCCGTAGTTTCATCGATAATTATGTGTTAGTACACCAGTTCTTCTGAAGTAGCTTTGCTTAATTTCAAGGTAAGGGTCGGTGTCTGGGCCTTGAACTTGTTAACGTGGGTTTTTTTGTCTCCGATTTACAAGAAATTTGTGTCTACTTCTATATCAGGCCGAAGTTTTGGGTTTCTGTATTCTTCAGTTTCTGGTGTTGCTTAATTTTTGGTTTGGGTTTTGTAGGTTTTTCTGAAAGTTCATTATTGTGATGTTTGGCGTCTGCATTCTAAATTTTGATAATTTGTGTTAGTTTCAGGCCATTCTGAGATTTAGATTTGTGGTCTGGTGGCCCGTATCATAGAAGGCCACAATTTGGCATGGACTTGAGGCCTAGGGTTTAACCAAATTTCTAATTTGTGCTTTAGGGTTTTCGATTTTGGGATTGGCCTTTTGTTATAATATATAAGTTTGTCCTAAATTTTGCTTACTCCCTGAGCCGGGTCTTTAGAATTAACTATCTGGAGTCTAAAGTTTGCTGACTTAGAGTCTTAAATTGGAGTTACTTGAGTTTTTTCAGAAAGATATTTGTTGTGCTTTTTCAGGTTCCTTTCCTGGGTGTTTTCATGGCTTCCCCTCAATCTGTTGTGTCTCCATTCAAAGGCTCTGTTGTTGCTGAGCCCGAGAAGCAGAAATCCAACTTCTTCATCCGTACCGCTGGGCCTTCATCCAATGGAACTGATGCCAATAGAAAGGAAGCCATGGTTTGTAACTCAGAGAACTCCATTGGTGTTCTTGAGGTTTACGTTCATCAGGCCAGGGACATCCACAACATCTGCATATACCACAAGCAAGATGTCTATGCTAAGCTATGCCTGACAAGTGATCCAGAAAACACAGTCTCCACCAAAACCATTAATGGTGGTGGTAGAAATCCAGTCTTCAATGACAATGTCCAGCTTAATGTTCGGACTGTTGATTCCTCCCTCAAATGCGAGATTTGGATGCTGAGTAGGGTGAAGAATTATCTCGAAGATCAGTTGCTGGGGTTTGCTTTGGTTCCTTTGTCAGAGGTCCTCATCAAGGATGGGAAGTTAGAGAAAGAGTTCTCTCTTTCTTCAACTGATCTGTTTCATTCCCCAGCAGGGTTTGTCCAGTTGTCTCTCTCGTATGCTGGAGATTCACCAGACGTAATGCCTCTGGCCTCAAATCCTATTGTGCAGGACTCAGAGATAGCTGAGCTTCCTTGTGAATTAGATAAGTTAGAGTTCCCAGATCCGAACATTGACAATGAAGACCAGAGAATGGTTTCAGAGTATATTAAGATCCCATCTTCGGAATTTGAGTCTCACAGCTCTGAGAGCTTGGTCACTGCTGAAACTGAAAATCAGCTTAGTTCAGAAGTGGATGTTCATGCTATAGAAAGCTTCTCGACCACTGCTTTTGAGTCTATCCAGGTTCCAAAGCTTGATTCTCCCCCAAGCAGTGTGTCAACTAATGGTGCTTCATCTCCTTCAGTCCAGGCTAGCTCAGAGTCATATGATGCTCCATCAGCTTCAGAATCTCCAAACCAGGAACAAATATCGGCCCCAGGAGAGAAAAAGGTGGATAAAGATGGTGAGACTGATTCGTCTAATGGAGTGCCAAGTGATGCATTTGCAAAACCTACTGTCACTGTCACCGTTCCTGAGCAGCAGGTGGTGCAGCAGGATTTTGTAGACATGTACATGAAAAGCATGCAGCAATTTACCGAGTCTTTGGCAAAAATGAAGCTTCCTTTGGACCTTGAATCACCAACCAGTTCAGAAAATTCGAGCTCTGATCAGAAAATGCAGACACCAAAGAACAGCGGTTCCCGTGTGTTTTATGGGAGTAGGGCTTTCTTCTGAACTTTTGTTCCACTGGTTCAGAGGAAGACACAGGTGACTTTAGATTTTTAGATAACTAGTAATGAAGTGTAATAATGTTCTTGTATTGTGTTGTTTCCCTTTGTATGTCGAGGTGCTTTAGATGACAGGAAATCTTGACTTGTACCTGTTTCAAGCTTTGTTCTATCACCAACTTGCTATTAGTATATATGAACTACCATGACATCTTTCCTCTTTGTAGCTGCTTTTTTATTTGAACCTTTAATTATTGTGATAATCAAATTCCATCTAACTATTTAGGGCCATGATGTCTATAATCATGACTGATATTATGATCCCACATTCACATGGTGATTAACAGCAGAAAGTTTGTAAGGCCAAAACATTGACATGATTTGTTCAGAATCCACCAGATCTACTCTAAAAAGGGCAACAAAAGAAAAAATCCACCAGATCTTATCCATCTCCATCAATATGACTTGGACAAATTTAGTTAATCTGCACTTAATTGATAAATCTCTTGTACAAGTTGATATTTTTGTGCCTATTATAATGTAGGTGAAAATTATAGGTTTAATTATGTTAATATCAGGTTAAGTATAATTAGACAACATAGCCTAAGAAAGCCAAAAACTAATTAGACAACATAGTCTAAGAAAGCCAAAAACACCATTCTGTCAGTTAATACTTGCTATATAAACTTTAGTAGCAAAAGACCATACTGCAAAGCAAGACTCAAAAGTCTGAACATTGAAGGGGAAAATGACTTTTTATCTAGAAGACATCAAAGGGAAAATGACTTTTATTTATCATAAACATTTTAGATGCAAAGTTTTTCAAAGTGGCACTTCAATTATTTCATGTGCTCTGAGGTTAATATGCCTCCTACAGATCCATGCAATCTGACCATCATCTCTGTACCTCACTCTCCATAAACCAAACTTCTCTGCTATATCCTTTCCAGTTGAGCATCTCCGGTCCCTTAGGAAATCCAGAACCCATTGTTGTGCTGTTCTTTGATCTTGCTGGATATCTCTTGAGCTTTCTGCAGCCCTACTTCTGTTCCTTCCCTCTGCACGCCCAATTGCTGCAGCCCCGACAGCACCTGCAGCAACTGCCCCTGCTGCTCCAATTAGGAGGGAAGAATCAGCCAGGTGGGCAACTTCCCTGCTTAAATCAGGTATCATTTCGCCCATGCCAGCGGCTAGATGGGCTCCTATCTTGAGAGCAAATGTTAGCAGTTTCATGAACTTTGTGGTGTATGGTGCCAAAGACTTCACGGTCCTGTTATCAACCTGCATCATTTCACACCCTACCTGATCTTCAACAACATGCATTTCTCGTCGAAATTCACATAACATGTGCAGTCGAAGAGCATTCATGCCAGGAATCATGGTGGTGACCAATCTCCTTGAGTAGTTTTCTGTTCTAACAAAGTAGAACATATTCGGTACTTTCCTCTCTTCAATTTGGACATTGTATGTCACAAGGTAATTGACTTTGCGATGAAGCTCAGAAAGGAGTCTATGCTCATAATATCTCAGCCCCTGGATCTCCTGTTTCAAGTCTCTGATTTCTTGCTCTATGATCTTCAGTCTCTGCAAAACTGCTTCAACCCCTTTGGCAATTCCACCAAAAGTTGGATCAACTTTGTCAGGCTGGTCACTTGTTGATAAAGCATTCTCTGGTCCATCCGGGTCATTCTCAGGTGGGATTTGCAGTTCCTGAGCAAGGTTGTATAGGTCATGATATCTCCGGTGCAGTACTTCACGGAAGTCATCATCTGATAGGAGGTCTCGGGCCAAATCAAAACCAGCTCTTAGGATTTGCCTTCCAGAGTCGGAGATTGGATCCCAGGTGTGCTGGTAATCATACATGCTGTCCGCAGGAACAGAAAGTAGTGCCTGTTTTAATTGTTGCAATGAAGCAAATTGTGTTTTCCTGTATCTGGGAGGTGTGAGATTTTGCACACATTCTGGTCTTATCACATTTTCAGTCAAGGTGATACCATGGCAGAGGCTATGAATTGCTGGTATTATAAGCTGCTGGATGAGCCTAAGGGTTTCTGTCAGGTTCTTGGTAGAGCATGCGAGGACATCAATATAGTAACCCAGCTGTCCTCCCAATTCTACTCTGATATAGATTCCATTTATATTTATGGAGATTAGGTACTTCTCAAGTCTGTAAGTCGCTCCATGTTGGTTCTTCAAGGCCATGATTCTGTTATGCAGATGCACCTGGGTTTTCAAACAGATGAAGTTTGATAAGAACATAGACAGAACCAAATAAACTGTGTGGAATGTTCTTCACATTGTAGCCATGGAATTGCTAGCCCCAAGATACACGAACCTGCACTGCTGTTCGTGATAAATACACGAATGCACATGCATCCGTGCATTATTTGTAACTAGAGTAAAGCTTTGCCTTAACGTTTGACTCCAATTCAGTTCTTGGCAATATTGTATACATTATTTAGCAATTCACATGATTCATGAGGCATATGACAATTTTGGTATTAAAGGTGAGATATTCAAAGCAGATAGCTAGGTTATCTTATCAATTTGTGCTTAGGTTACTTTAGGATAATGTCACTCATAAAATCTAAAATAATCGAAAGATGAAAATAAACAGAACTTGAGGAGCAAGTAACAAAGAAGATTGGGGAAACTCTTGCCTGTAATCTAGGAAAGAAGCCTGGTGTGAGGAACATGTGGCTTGAATCATCACATTCAAGATGCCTCCCTGCATAAAGGCACTCAGGTCTGCTTAATTGCCATCTTTGTGGCTTTCCTCTTCCTTCTTCGAGAATTGAGGGGATCAAGAGCAAGGAATTAGGATCTGATGGGTCTTGTTCATAGCATAATTCCAGTTTAAGCATCATTTTCACAAGGTCACTGGCCTCTAAGTTCTCAAATACCTTTGAACCCATTCCAGGAATCGGACTCTGTAAGCTTCCTCTTAGAATCTTCTCCAAATCCTTCTTGCTGATGAATCCATTATTCTCTGTGGAGCTTTGATTTCTTGCATCCAGTCTTATTAGTTGGCCAAGCACCTCACCACAGAACCACTCACAATCTAAGATTAGAAACCCCAGTTCATCAAAATAAATTACCTCTCCTATGTGATGAAGACAAGTAGCAACAACCCGCCGCCTCATTTCCACCTTCTCTTTGTTGTCATGTCTCGATCGAATTCTTAAGGATGGAACCTTGACTTGGCATAGCTCATTAAACTCCTTCCACTGCATAGCTGGCTTGTTGTAGTTCTCTGATCTCCAATCTGATAATATTTGTGTCAGATCATTGCAAAGCTGATAGATTCTTGGGACTCTTTGAAGAACTGTCTTGCTTGTCTTTAGAAGGTGATGAGTGAGTTTACTCACTGATGCTGATGATCTTGCATCAACTGTGAACACTGTTGGGTAGAAGTCAACGAATCCCTGGAACTTGTCTCTCAATCTCTGAATTGAGTTAACTGCAACCTGCAAGTTTTCTGATGGCTGATTGATTTTGTCATAGTGCGTGAGTACAACTGTTACATTTGGTAGCATGCATTGCTGCACAGCCCTTCTTGAATTTGAGACTATGAACCTGAGCCAATACTGAAGGTCCTCTTCTATCTCCATTGGGTTCTTTGGTTCTCTGTTGTTTGGTTTCCTAAATAAACTGGATATGATGACAAAGAATGATGCACTACCATGCCCTGGGAACATGAGATCATGGAGAGAATAGAATTCATGCTGACCAGCAAGATTCCATATTGAAATCTTTGTGTCCTCATCTTTGAAAGTTTTAATCTTCATCCCAACTGTTCTAACAGCTTGCTCAACTGGGTTCACTAGAGATCTTACCTGGTCCACATAGGGAATCTTTGAAGAAGAGAAACTCTGCAATATGGAGTTGCACAATGTAGACTTACCTGCAACTCGAAATCCGAAAACATTTTAGGAGACAACATGTGCTTCAGACAATCAAAATTTACAAACAAAAGTTAGATACTTTAACTTCAGAGTTACCTGCATATTCTTGTCCACAGAAAAATGCTCTACAACTCTTGGGTACTGTAAGTGGCATGTCCTTAAGCAAATCCATTTCTGGTTCAGGCCTCCCATTCTGGCCTAATCTTTGATAAATCCCGTCGGTCTTTCCTGAGTTTTGCAGTGGTGTTCTTGCAAGATCAATATTTTCAATCCAAGGATTTACCTGTAATGTCTCCATGATTGCCTGCAGTACCAACTCTCCTTGAACACCCTTGCAGCCCTGTAAAGATAAGTGTCTCAAGGCAGCATTCTTCTCCAAACTTTTGAAGAGTTTAACAAAGTCATCTGATCTTAAACTCTCATCATCATATATCCCTAACCGAGTCAAACTTTCGTTGGTCGTCAGCATCAGTAAAATGGCTGCAAGTCCCTCCCTTCCAATCTTGGTTCTTCCACCTCCAAATGTGACAGATTTTAAAGTAATGTTTGCTTGATACTGTAGGGCAGAGAACCTGCTCAGAGGACATAGTAAATGTTCAACTCCTATACCTCCGAACGCATTTCCATCTAAATACAAGCTCTCCAAACTCTGATTCTTGAAGAGTCCAGCTGCCACATACACAACTCCTTTATCTTTCAGGCAAGTTTTGGACAAGTTTACCTCTTTGAGGCTGTGATTCTGTTCCAAAACCCATCGAAACTCCTTAGCCCATCTTGATTTCAGCCGGACACCAGTCATGTCGAGTGACTTGACAGTTGAGTTCCACCCGAGAGCACAGGCAACCCGGCATGCACCTGAAAGGTCGAGCCTGTAAATTCGAAGTGTGCTATTCTCAGGTAGAAACTCAACCACCTTAGAACTTCTTTCCCCATTTTCTCCACTCCAAACATGGACTTCCATAGTCCTATTCCTTGCTAACACTGCAGAAATAAGTGGAGTTGCAGTGATCGAATACGAGTCAAATATTGTCAACAGCTTCAGTGTTGAGTTCACTTCAATCATCTTTGAGAGCTCTTCTGCGCCTTTTGACCCAATAGAGTCTTCCCATATCTGTAGCTCCTCCAAGCTCTCATTCACCTTAAGAGCAGAAGCAAGAAATCCAGCTCCAGCAGACCCAATAGCCGATTCAGAAAACATTATCTCTTTGATCACTCTATTTCTCTTCAGAATCTCAGACAACTCTGACAGGCATTGTTTGTCAAATCTGTTTCTCTTGAACACAGCTTGCTTGATGTTTGAACAACTCTCAAGCAACACAGCAAGATTGCGCAGTCGTTGTAGTTCCCATTCAATCTGGTGGAACTCCAAGTTTCTGAGAAGCAGCTGGTTGGTTTTGGCTGTTCCCAAAACTGTGAGGAACTGTGAAAAGTAAGACAGACTGTCTTTTGAAATGTTTATGTTGATGGAGCTTTCTGTTTCCTGGTAGCAGCCAGAAGTGGGCTGAGAAAGGTAGAAGGAGATGTTGTGTAGGTTGAGGCTTTCTGATTTGATGGCTTCCAGAGCCCATTGGAGATCTTTGAGATTCTGGTCTGTTGCCATTGCTAGAGCAGGAACTCTTTTGAGCTTTAGAAACTATATAACAAGAAAGTAGCCATATCTTCTGGATCAAAACAGCATCAGTGGCCTTTTTGAAAAGTTAAGCATACTCTTGATTTTGAGAACTGTTGTGCAATATAATAAACTCTTAAAAAGATTGCCTAACCGCGTATTCTTTTTGGGTGTATGGTCCAACTTGTGACTTTCTGTCTGATTGGCAATGTAATGCATGACAGAAAGAATTCATTGAGCCTTTTACGGTGAGGGCCTTTTATGATTCGTATTCTCTACTTCCATCTCAAGTTATGTACGCCTTTAACTGATCTATTTATGTATTCTTGTATTTATTTTATATATCCGATATTGGGGAAAATTGAATCTAATGCCTCGAATATTAGGGTAAATGCTCTTAATCACTTGAACTACCTTACTGTCTTTAAGCAACCTTGTTCCAAAGGTATGAACAAAACACCTCTCTCATTCATTGTTTTTGTATCGGCTCTGTCCGTGCATGGCAGTGCACCAGAGTCTTCCACATTACACGACATGTGGCCGTATCCACACCTCACGATTGCTCTGCGGAGGTCAAGAAGCTTAGAACGGATGAGAAAAGAGTTTTGAGGGGTGCAATGGGATTGTCCACTTTATTGACATTTTGGGCCGTGAGCAGGACATCTTTTCTCTTGTTTTCCCATTGAAAAAAACAAAGGAATCCTATAAAGCAGAAGAAAAAGGTGACTGAGTGTTGAGACAAATTAGCTCTCCTTAATAGGATCTTAATCATTGATTCATTGAGACTACAGTATAGCTTAAATTTAGGCCACCAGGCCGTGTCTCAATGCCACGTGCAAATTTAAAGTTATTTACATTTTCCACAGCATTGAACCCAAAGTAAAATCCTCATCCCTTACACATTGACACACTTCGAAAAATACCCTATCATTTACAAACCCGCATGGAATCATTATACTTAACATCTTAAATGTGTTTTTGTGATGCTAATGGAGGAAGAGAAATAAAATTCTTAATGCACCCCTTAGCGGTTGAGCTAATCAACCAACAACAACAACAACAACAACAAAAAAAAAAAATCACAAACAGAAGAGTAGTATCTGACACTTGCTTCACACAACTTTACTTAAAAACAATGAATTCAGTAACTTATTTGACGGGGATCCCAGTTGGGCATCCCTCTATTGTTTCACACTAGTAAATCAGAAACCTTACATAAAATCTGAGAGAAAAGCAAATCCCAGAAGAAACATAAGAACCAGCAACTTCGCCAGGCTTACAGAAATGAAATGAAAAAAAAAAAAAAATCAATGTTCTATCTCTTTCGACAGACTAATGCTGGCTGGTCTCGCTGGAGATGCAAGGTACATTAATTGAAACCGTCTTCCTGAGTATATATCCGCAATCTGATTTTACACCTCAATCAAACTTTGAGAAAGGAACCTAAGCTTTCAAGGAAGAAAGCAAATCCCAACCCTTTGACACAAAATTCCATGAAATTGCTCTCTGATATGTATACTTCAAATCAAGGAACCCCGTTAGAACTATATGATCAGTTTCCTTATAAGCTGAAAATCTTACTAAGGGAGACGTATACTATTCACAATCCTTCAGTGTTTGACTGGTTTCACTTCACCTACCATCACCTCTTGATACCCAACAAATCACCTAAGCAGCAATTCCTGAAGTACATAGTTATCAAATTTTAAAAAAATACTATAAAAAACTGAATTCCATGAGATAACATTTAACTATCAGCAAATAATTAATTTCACAAGTAAACATAAATGTTCAAACTTGTTTATATGTGTAAACAAAACAATTTTAGCCAACTTCAATGTGCATGATTACAAGTTACTGGGAGGGTGCTGGAGGGGTTAGACATCATCCAAATCAACTTTTAAAATTGGGTGTTTGGGTACTGGAAGGGTTAGACATCTACCAGCACCTCATATGCAAAATTATATGAGTGACTCAAAATAAGCTTCAGAGTTCTTTTCGAACCATAACTAAGAACAGTTATCTCTTACAGACATAAATATGCACTTGTATTCCATATCATTGATATGATTGTAGCAAAGGTGGTGGTACAATTATTCCATGTTGGGTTTAAACATTCACAACGTTCAAATATGAATCATTCTCAAAGTATAAAGATATATCTTCAAATCAATAATAGAAACTGTGCAAACAGTAAGCAATCAAATATTTCATATTCCAGAAAAAATAGTTGTTCATTTGGAATTAACCAGTTCTCTACAAAATTCAGTTGTAAGGTGATAGTTACCTCTATTTGGTTGTCTACTGGTAACATTGTAACTTCCAATATAGCCCCCAGAACTTTTGGCTGTGATGTCTGCAGGTAAATCACCCAGGCCATAGCCAAATGTGCTAGAACCATCTAGCTCAGGACTGGTAGAGCGCCAAGTCGAGTCACCATAAACTGAATCACTATGGTACAAGTCCCCATAAGACCCCTCATAACCAACAGTTGATGTGGGAAATGATGATGTTGGGGCACCACTGTTTCTTCCGTATCCTCCTCCTCCCAACCCAAAGCTGCTTTCTCCACTACCATAACCACCGGCACTAGTATAGCCAGAAGCACTGCCTCTACTTTGAGTTGAAAAAGAATTAGGGCCCCAATTTGAATCATTATTTCCTATAGCAACTCCAAAGCCCCCATTTTCAGCACTCAAGTAACCCCCAGTACTGGCAGGGTTTATGTTATTGTTGATGCCACTGTTTGCCCAGACATTCCGATTGGTTGAGCTTACTACAGAACTGCTCCTTCCATTACCTGCATTATATCCAATAGGGGTAGTATACCTGTTTGAATTGGCATTATAATAGGGGCTCAACATCCGTGCATATCCTAGACTATTGCCAAAGTTGGAATTCCCGCCATAGGTTGGGCTCAATCCTGGCTCTAAATTCATACCCAGTCCATATCCAGTAGTGCCAAATGGAGACAACCCGCTACGACCACTAGAAAGTGGATTGAACCTAGTATCCATACTGATGCCGAAACCTCCAATTGGGCTCATATTATAACCTTGAGCATAACCGTTAAGCAAACTACTGGTCCTACCTGGACTATAGTTGTATCCTATCAGAGGGCTCCGGGTGGGCCCTGAGGATAGCTCCTTAGGGACTGCCCTCTTGACCTCAACCATCTTACCATTGAGTTCATGAAATGTTTTATGCAGAACTCTGTCAACTGCCTCCTCCGAGTCATAAGTGATAAATCCGAAGCCTCTTGGCCTTTGGGTGTTGTGATCATACATTACTACAACATCAGTGACTGTACCAAATTGATCAAAGTACTTCTTAAAGTCACTCTCGGTGACTGTGGATGCTAAACCTCCAACAAAAATCTTTCTCGTGCGTCCAGGACCAGGGGAACCATGAGCAACCCCAGTTCTGTTTAAAATGTTCTGATCTTCCTTAGGAACAGCCTTCTTTGCTTCCACCTAAGATTGAAAACAGAAAACTGAGCAAAACTATTGGTGCCATCTTGAATTCGTGTAGCTGTAAGTGTCAACTTTCCTTCAATGCAGATTCCAAATAACTAATTGCATTTTGAATTGATTGATTCAAATCTAGAGAGAGATAGAGAGAGTGCATGAATGCTTTTTTCCTTTAATTGTAAATGTGAAATCAAAGTCATGTTTGAAATATGATCCTTTTTAAAATGGAAGGTTATACGACATATTTCAGTATTGCAACTAAGATCCTATAACGAAATGGAAAAATACCAAGTAAGTCCGTGATGCAAAAAGATAGTTGTGATACTCACTGTGCGGCAATCGATCATGTGCTTATCCATAATGACTCTTTCTGCAACTGCAGGATCCGCAAAGACAACGAAACCAAAGCCACGAGCACGACCGGTTGCACGATCCCTCATGATCACAGCCTCCACCACCTCTCCATATTTCCTGAAATATTCTTTGAGCCGTTCCTCATCTGTGTCCCAGGAAATCCCGCCAATGAAGAGCTTGCCAAGATCTGGTTCCATCCTTCTCTGTAACAAACAATGATAAATTCAATAACCCAATTCAATTCAACTGAAAACAACACTTGCAAAGATATACAATTCAATATAAGTTGAAAATCCAGCAAAGAAAATTCATAATTCAATAGGAAAGCCTAAAGCTTTATCATTGGAACAAATCCTGGATTGTCAAATTACATGGATGGTACACAATCATATACTTTGACAAACTCCAAAAGACTCGATATTGAATAGAAAATGCGAAACAAAGAGATCCAAATGTGGATAAAAGCAAGCAAAAACGAAAAGCCATTACCTTGTCTAAAATTCAGACAGAACCCAAATAGTGCTCTGATTGAAACAACAATTAGGAAACGTCAAATTCAATCTTGGAACATCAGATCCTTCATGAACCAATCAGAACAACAAAACGGATTTCCTAACAACCCCAACAAATGAAAATTGAGCAGAGTTCTCGTGGATCAGAGACCCATGGAAGAATAATTCAAAAGAAGATCAACAAAAATAAAAATCAAAAGGATGAAAATTTTACCATTCGAGGAGGACCCAGATGAGAAAATGATAGAAACTAAGATCTAACCAGTGGAATATATGTAATGAAAACAGAGGATGTGGTGGTCATCCTCTCTATACACAGGCTTTATTTCTCTCTTTTCTATTCTTTCTTTCGTGGCTATTCCACTTCCTCCCTTATATATTTAAATATAAAAAAAGAAATAGAATTTGAAGCTCAGATAGATAGGTAAGGGACAATTTTTATAAATAGACTGACAATCCACTGGTCTAAGAATATTTGGAGGAGCCAAGGAGAGATGACAGCGGATGTTTCTTTTGCTAGAAGAAATAGTTGTTCTTTTAATATTTGGACAATTTATACCACACCTTTAATACAAAGCAATTCAAATACCGTAATTAACTAGCTCTTAATTTAGTGGTATTTTTCTTCTTAATATTAACATACGTCCTGATTTCGAATCTCCAATTCTCCATTCATGAAAAAGAAAAAAAGCAGTTCAAATGCAGCTGCTTAACTAGTTGAATTTGGATTGCAAGTTAGCACAACACTA